CAGATCCCACCATTTGCAACAACATGGATGGAGCTAGAGGGTATTATGCTCAGTGAAATAAGCCAGGCAGAGAAAGACAAGTACCAAATGATTTCACTCATCTGTGGAGTATAAGAACAAAGAAAAACTGAAGGAACAAAACAGCAGCAGAATCACAGAACCCAAGAATGGACTAACCACTACCAAAGGGAAAGGGGCTGGGCAGGAGGGGTGGGGAGGGATAAGGGCAGGGAAAAAGAAAGGGGGCCTTACGATTAGCATGTATAATGGGGGGGGCATAGGGAGGGATGTGCAACACATAGAAGACAAGTAGTGATTCTACAGCATCTTAACTACGCTGATGGACAGTGACTGTAATGGGGTTTGTGGGGGGGAACTTGGTGAAGGGGAGAGTCTAGTAACCATAATGTTCTTCATGTAATTGAAAAAAAAAATTTTTTTAATGGGGAAATTGAGGTATCATGAAAAGATTAAAAGTGAGCAGTAAACCAGTTAAGTCTAACCAATCATTTATTGATGTAAATATGTTTTACAACTGGATGTTAACCATGAGAAGTGACTGGTAGTTACCTTGGGGGAGGGATTGGGTGGATTCATTGCTAATAAATAGAAATAGTTTTTCTATATTGACTTGTATGCTGCAATCTTGAACCCACTTATTAGTTCGAGTAGTTTTTTTTGGAGATTCCATCAAATTGCTACATAGATGATCCTCTCATTTATAAATAAAGACAGTTTTACTTCTTCCTTCCTCATCTGGATGCCTTTTCTTTCTTTTTCTTGTCGTATTGCACTGGCTGGAACCCCCAGTATGATGCTGAATAGGTGATGAGAGTGAGCATCGCTCGTTCCCAACCTCAGGGAGAAGTATTTCACCATTAAGTAAGCTATGAGCTGTAGGGTTTTTGTAGATGTTCTTTTCAGGTAGAGAATGTACTACATACCTACTAAAATGGCTAAAAAATTTTTAAAGGACCCTACCAAGTACTGGAGGATGTGAAGCAGCTGAAACTCTCATTCATGTAAGCATGTGGCACAACCTCTCTGGAAAACAGTTTGGCAATTTCTTAAAAGTTAAAAAGGGTTTTACCCAAGAGAAATGAAAGCACATGTCCACCCAGAAACTTGTACATGAATGTTCATAGCTGCTTTATTAGTCATATCCAAACACTGGAAACCATCCAAGTGTTCATCAACGGGTGAGTGGCTAAACTCTTGCAGGATAGTCATACCACATACTAGCATTAAAAAGGAATGAACTACTGATATGTGCAATCACGCAGATGGACCTCAAAATAGTTATGCTGAGTAAAAGAAATCAGACCAAAATAAAAGGATATATACTATACAATTCGTTTATATAAAATTATTGAAAAATGCAAACTAATCGATGGAGACAGAAAGCAGATCAGTGGTTGCCTGGGACAAGGGCAGGGGTGTCAGGGTGGGACAAGAGGAGGGGACAGGAGGAAGCTTTAGGGGGCAGTAGATGTGTCCACTGTGACTGTGGTGGTGGGTTCATGCTGCATACAAATGTCAAAATTTGTCAAATTGTATGCTTTAAATACGTGCGATTATTACCTGCCAATTACATCTCAATAAAGCTTTTTAGAAATGGAATAATAAAATATTAAAATTAAGAGGATATTAGGGCTGCAAGTCATTATTCTTAAAAATATACATAATATAAAAAAATAACTTAATAGCAATACTCTGAAATTATAACCACAAAGTTAGCAAAAACCAGTAGGATGAGGAGAATGTCTTGAAATAAAAGCAGCTGAAGTTCTCATCATAACAGAGAATATCAAAAGTTAGGATTATTCTTGATTTTGATATTTAGAAAAATATGGGTTTTTCTTTTAAGTATGGAGGAACTTCAAGTTCAACAGAAGTTAGCTCCTTAAAACAGGAGGCCCCACTCTGGTTAGCTAGTGGGGCCTCAGTGCTTATCTGTCAAAGGGTGTGGGATGGACCCACTGGCTTCCCCAGTCACTTACTGTGACTCTTCCAAAAACCCAGAGCCAGGAACCAGGTCAGCACCCCTCCAGGGGACAAATGAGGAGATCTACCAGTCCCACCTTCCCTTTTCTGCTTCATCCCTGCCTCCTTGATGTCAAACTTAACATCGGTCAGCGATCAGCCAGCATTCTCACTGCTGGGTATGTATCTGAAGGAAAGGAAATCACTGTCGTGAAGACATACATGCACCCCTGTTCACTGTAGCATTATTCACAAATATCCAAGACACGGAATCACCTAAATGGCCATGAAAAAATGTGAGATATATATATTATTCAGCCAAAAAGAAAAGGAAATCCTGCCTTGTGCAACAATATGGATGGACCCTGAGGGTATTATGCCTAAGTGAAATAAAACAGAAAGATAAATACTGTATGATCTCACTTACACATAGGAGCCAAAACAAAAACTCACAGAAACAGAGTATGGTGGTAGCCAGGGGCTGGGAGCTGCAGGAAATGAGGAGACGTTGATCAAAGGGTACAAACTTCTGAATAAATTCTGGAGATCTAATATACTGCATGGTCACTATTCTTAACAATCCTTAACAATTTTATACTTAAAACAGTAGATCCTAAGTGTTCTCACCACGCACACACACACACACGCAGAAAGAACTATGTGAGGTGACAGAGGTGCTAACTAACCTTATCTTGTGACAATCATTTTGCAATATATACATGTTTCAAATCATCAAGTTGTGTGCCTTAAACTTAATAGGTGATATGTCAGTTATATCTCAATAAAGCTGGGAAGAAAGGAAAAAAGCCAGCAGTCTCTCAGGCTGGTACCACATATATTGTTCAGATCCATCCTGAGCTTTGAATCCCTTCACCTGAGAAGGCAGGGATTGGCTGCTTTCACATCCGCGGAGGGCCCGCAGCGCTTCCTCGCCCATGGGACCCTCGCGCTAGAACAGGGCGTCGGGCACAGCTTTGCAGGCAGGCACACTGGCCACAGTGCTCACTCTGCAGTCACTACTGTGCCCTTGGGAAGACCCAGATGGGCCCGCAGGCTGTTCCCCAGTTAAGTGGGAATGAAAACGTTTACCTCTGTATGAAAGGCTTCCGCACAGCACCTGGCAAACAGCAGTCCTGAAAGACGCATGATTGTTGTTAAAACCACTGAGGCGACGACTGCTAAACCAGTGCCCAAGAGCTTGAAGTTTGATCAATACTTTTCTTTCATTCATTTTTTCATTAATTCTAAAAGCTCTTTGGGAGGATTTATTTTAAAAACGTAACATGACATCTGGTGTGTGGTGAGCGCTCAGTAATCACTGTACATCCTCGGCCGTCGCCACCCTCACTGGATGCCAGACACTGAGGACACAGAGAAGAATGGGGCACGGGCACACTTGTCAAGGAGCTCTTGGTGTAAGGGACAGACAGAGGTTCACCCAAGGTGCCATGGCCCCTGGAGTCAGTGCCAGAGGGAACAGCTGTGGGGCCTCAAGGGAAGGATCCCGTGATCCCCAGGGCTGACGATCCAGGCAAGCACTGTCCCCTCGACCCCAGGCACTGCCACAGCTGCCAAGATGTGCCTCCGGAGCCCACTGTCGAGGCTGCTGCACAATTCCCAGTCGTGGAAACGACCAGAAGGCCCTGGGGCTGAGACTGGTGAATACGGGAGGTAATTCTTCAGGTCACAACCCGGGGTTAATGCAGTCAGAGGAGGTGGGGAACCTCAGCTTCTGCCAGCAGCTCTGAATCAATCAGTCCTGGCTCAATGCCAGCAGGGGAGCAGTGGTACCAGGCCTTGGGATCTGGGTCAGAGGTTCCTGGTGAGCGGTGAGGAACAGTACTGCATGAAACGACCACCTGCCTGCTTCCAGCATGGCTTCTGTAATCCAGTCTCAACGTACATTCAGTCACATCCATTTTCTGAACTGTGGGCCAACATCGCTCTAAGAGCCAGGGACACAACTAGAAGATAGATGTGGCCTAGCCATCAGGGAATCTACCTTCCAATGAGAAGCCCAGAAGGCAGGCCAGGGAGGGCAGGGGAACCGAACCTGGTTCTGATTAGCCACACAGTCAGGGGACACGGAGGAGTCCACCACGACTGGCAAGCTGTCAGCCTGGTTAACTGGAAGAGCCAGGGAGCTAGTACTAGGAAACGGTGATGTAGACAGGAGGTTTGGGCAGCAATGTGCTAAGTTCCATTTGGGTCATGGTGAAACTCATGTGGCTTCTTCAGTTGTCCCTTTCTCAGTGAGAATAGACAGAATTTGTGGGAGGAGAATGGAGTCAGGGCCACAGAGCTGGGGTGCTCGGGCAAGGAGCCAGGGGACTTGGTATCGCGCCCAAGGGCACGGGGCTACAGAGACCCTGGTCAGGAGTCAGGCAGCCTGTGTTCTCATCCGACACTAACGCTCCAATCCTGGTAAGTGCCACTTCTCTGAGTTCTTGGCTCCTTGCCCAATGCACAGGTGGCCATGAATAATCTAGAAGAAATTTAGAAATTGTATAAGGCTATATAAATATAAGGGGTCAAGTCCAAGGCCCTCCGTGGGAAAGCTGAGGCTCCAAACGGTAATGTGACTTGCTCAGGGCCACACAGTGGCTACTAGAAGACCATCGATCTGTGGTGCTCTACCCACCTGTGACACCTCAGTCCATCTGGGGACTTGCTGATGATACCTTCAGTCAAACACTGAGCCCCTCCTGGGACCACCCCAGAAGACAAGACTCTCAGACCCCAGTCTTGCCTCTGATATGAAAAACCCTGTTATCGGCGTGGCCCAGGCCAAGGTCAGCCTCTGCAGGATAAGTTCTATCCCAGCTGGGAGGCAGAGCAGGAAGCCACAGCCACCAGGACAACCCAGGCCCTTGTGAGCCCCGTACAGACTGGGCTGGCATCTGGGAAATGAAAAATGCCCAACTCTGAGCATGTGCTCCAAGGAGGTTTATTAGCATCCACATGGGGGCCCCGAGCTCTTGCCCAGAGGAAGAGGCTGTGAGCATCAGACGGGAAGATGACAGGCCCAGCACTTGTGCAGGTGGTGACGACTCTGCTCCAAGCACAGCCAGCTGACCCTCCTTGGCCCCTTACATCTACTCCCTAAAGAGGTAGGGTTGTCCTCTCCATAAAGAATTGAGGTCCCTGCAGGTTTCTTGACCTGTCTGACATCTGCCAGCCTCCAGAAATCTAGACCCAGGTCCTCTGTTTGCTGCCTCACCTCAGCCAGCATCGGCGACCACATGTCTGGCAGAGCCAGCCCCACCCTCACTCCAGCAGCTCCCCACCCCCTACCCCTGGGACCTCACAACTACAGTCTGGAGCAGACAAATTTGATCAGGTTCTCCAACTGCTCCTCCAGGTGCCACTCATCTCCATGGTTCTCGATGACCCAATCAAAGCCCCCAAAGTTGTCCAGGCCACATTCTGACTCACCATCGTCCACCCCTGTGGAGAGACACGGTGAGGTCAGGTCACATCCCTCCAGATACACACCGGGCATGGAGGCCTACTGGCCCCAAATGGAACTGCCCTCTTTGCCTCCCCTCCGCCACTCCAGAGCGAGGCTGCACCCACCCCAGACGGCATCCCCATCCCCTGAAACACCATGAGAGCAGGTTGGGCAGCCCACAGCCACCTGAGCCAGCAGAGGGTCCCGCTGACTTAATTCTTCACTTGCCACTGCCTACAGACAGTGAACTGGGTCATCTGACACCAGACAACCCAAATGGGCATTGTGTTTACACTTCAAGTGAAGCTGGTTGTGTTGGTTTCTAGCTCTAAAGCTCTGATTCAGTCCTCTAGGGAGCCAGTGTGTGTCACCCTCATCTGAATGAGAATGATAATAACAACATTTATCTGGTGGCTATATTGTTACTATAAAGTAAAATAACGTGTGTAAAGCCCTGCTGAAGCCAGCTGTGCTGTGTGCCCAGGAGATGAGCAGCCATCAGGAGCGGCCCTACCCCTGGATCCGAACCCCCCCAAGTCACAGTGACTAAGGGCAGGAGAGAGGCCTGAGCTATGCCTCTAAATTGCCACAGAGCAGGTCCCGGGCTCCCACCACCGGGGCTGACTAGTAGAGCTTCCTCTTGCTGTCCCCCCACTCTGTTAATCAAACAGGAGTGAGGTTTTTCAGGCCTGCCCTCTGATCTATTCTCAGCCCCCCACCAGGCTGGAAAGCAAAGGTGAACCACGCAGGTGCATCCCAGCCAGACCTCCAGAAGCCCGCTGGCCTAGAGAGGACAGCCCAGGGAAGGGCACCAACCAAGGCCCTGGGGGAACCTTTACCCCCAAGGACACCCTCTCCCACCCCACTCTACTTTCTGATCTGGGGGCAGTCCTGAGCCCCAGGCCTCAGAATCTTTTATAATCTCTCACTCACTCCCCACTAGCCTGCCAGGGACACAGCAGAAGACCTAAAGTATAGGTACAGGTGGCCCTGGAGGATAGGTGGGGTGGCTGGCCTGTGTGTCAGGCCTTGGGCGCAAAGGCTGTGAGCAGCTCACCTGGAATGAACACCCAGCCCCGCTGCTGTCGGCTCTGCTCTGAGGCCACCACTCGGACCGTCCGTGTCACAGCCCCATAGGCCTCCTGAAACCACTGGATGTCGGACATCCTCCGTGTGTCACTCACCAGCTGCAGGGAAGGGACACAGGTGACCAACAGTACAGGACACTGGGATTGAGGGGAAAAGAGGGAAAGACCCAGCCCCATACTAAATAAGCAACAGGGTTGGCAGGCAGGGCTACTGAATGCAGACAAGTGTAGCCCATTCCCCATTTTCACCCAACCACTGAGACAGGTGCCCTTCCTCCCTCCAGACAGCCCTGCCTGATCAATGCAGCCTGCAGCCCGCCCTGCCCACAGTGTCTCTGCCATGGACACACTCATGTTCTGTGATCACGTCAGTCAATACTGGGCTGAAATGGAGGCCTCAGGCTTTGAGTCAGATCAGCCAGTCCAACATATGCATTTTATAGATAAGCAAACTGAAGCCAGAAACAAAGATCACTGGACTGGTCACTACTCCCAGTACCTTTTAAAATGTAAGTCTGATTTTTGTCAGTCCACTGCCCAAACCTCTTAAAGGTTTCCCATCATTCTAACAAAATGCAAAGCCCTCACCCCAGCTTACAGTTCCAAGATCTGGCACCAATTTCCCATCATCTTTCCCCTCATTTCACTCCACTGCAGCCAACTGACCTCCTCTCTGTTTCTTAAACACACCAACCCTATCTCCTTAGGGCCTTTGCACATGCTACTCACACTGCCTGGAGAATCACAAGGTAAGCCTCACTTCACGGAGGTCTCCACTCAAATGTCACCTCTGCAGAAAGGCTTTCCCTACCATCCTGGCTCCCTTCCTGCCCCTCTGGGTCCTGATATGCAGTTTACATTCCTCTGAGCACTAAGTACTCTGAAAATCACCACTATTTATTAGTTTATCTGTTTACTGTCTGTCTTCCCCACAGTCAGCTCCATGAGGGCTCTATGCCTGGCCCCAAGGGCACTGCCTGACACATGACCAGCACTCAGAGGCATGTCTCCAATGAATGAATGAATCAGAAAATAAGGAGACCAGCTGCTCTTGCCCATGACGTGTTCAATCACCCAGTTACTCAACAAGTACTACAGCAAACACCTACCATGTGCCAGGCACTGTGCTAGGTGCTCGGGATAGTGGTCAGCAGAACAGCCCTGGTGCCTGCCCTCGCGGAGCTTATCGCCTAGCGGGAGAGCCACACACTACACAAGCAGCTTCACAAATAACCCTAATCACAGCGCCTACCATCAGGCATCTCATCTCAGCACCACTGACACTGCACTGTCTCCCCACACCTGTTCCTCCCACAACTCCCCCGTCTCAGAAAATCATGACACTACCTGTCCGTCCAGCCACTCAGAACAAAAACTTTGATGCTGTCTCCCGTCCTCAAATCCCAATGCTGATGCACCAGCATATCCTATTGGCTCTGCCTTCAAGATCTGTGCCGGATCGACCCGTTCTCTCCGCTCCACCGCCACTCTGAGCTGAGCCACCGCCACTCTGCCTGTCCTACACAAAGACCCTCTACCTAGACCCCATGGCTTCCACCCTTGCCCTCCCCGAGCAGGTAAGCCTTTTAAACCTTTGATCACATCATGTCTCTCCTCTGCTCAAAACCTCCCGTGAGCCCCCACCTCACTCAGTAAAATCCAGGCTCTTTCGAAGACCTGCATGATCTAACCTCACTCCTACCACTCACCCGTCACCCATCAAACGTCCATCCGGCTCACTCCTTTCTTTCAGGTTCTGCTCACATCATCATGTCAGTAAGGCCTTACCTGAGAGCCTGAATACAGCAGCAACCCAAGCCTCCTCATGCCCTTGGCCCGCTTTATTTTGCTTCTTAGTACGTATCTCCACCTGACATATTCTCTATTCATTTAGGGCCTAACTCCATCCACCCCCAGGCATAATGTAAGCTCCCTGACTGAGTACTTTTGTATCTATGGACCCCCAAATGTCCTGGAACCAGGTCTAGTAGAGGAGGTAATATGGGCCGCCAGAATGCATGACAAAGGGAAAGGGTGAGGTGCTTGCTGCGGGAACACCTGACAGGGGGCATCAGTTAAGACCTGGGGATCAAGGAAGGCTTCCCTGCAGAGGTGCCATGTAAGCTGAGCTGGAGCTAACCAGGGAAAGAGGGAAAGAAAGGGTAGTCCAGGCAGGTAGGCCAGCTATTTCAAAGGTCTTGACCTTGAAGTAGCTTGATTTATTTGCCGAACAGAAAGAAGGCCAATGTTGCTACAGTTTAAGGAATAAGATGGCTAGGAAGGTAGCAGGGCCCAGATCATTTAAGGCCTAGCTCACATGAAGGATTTTGACTGTGTTCATCAGAACAACGGGACAAAGGGTTCTTAACAGAGAAGTGGTATGACCTGGTTTGTGCTTTAAAAGGTCACTCAGACTGCTGTGTGGTGAATGTGTCATAAGGAACAAGAGCCAAAGCCAGGCCCCACATGGCCTGTCAGGTGGGAGATGGTGGGGGTGTGGACCAGGGGGTAGCAATGCAGACAGAGAAAAGGACACATCTCAGATATTTCTGGAGGAGCAGAGGGCTGGGGAAACCAGTGTTATTGATGCTGCCATGGAGCCCACTTACCCAGATGGGCTGGGAAACACCCTCCACGATCTTCCTGCAGAAGAAGCCCGGGTCAGCCTGGCGCTTCTCCTCCCCCCAGAGGATCATGTCCCTCCGATAGGCCTCCTTGTAGGTGCTGGCGCCCAGGAGCCTCTGGAAGTCCAAGCCATGGTCCTGCCCAAAGTACATCATGTCTACGCCACCAGCCTCTCGACCTTGCTGGTCCTCCTAAAACAGGAAGGGCCATCGCTTCCCTTGCCCGCCCTCCCTGAGGGCCAAGGAAAGGGCTAAAGAGGCTGTTGCCTGGCCAGAGGCCTGCAAGGGAAGACCTGGAAGCAGAAACCCCGAACAGTGGCAGATGGAAGAAAGGTCTCCGATAATGCGGAAATCGTTTCAATTTGTCTTTAAAATGTATGATGTGGTTTTCTCTGTTGCAACAATTTTACCTTCCCAATTATTTCTGACTTAAAGTAATCCTGAAATTAATTTCCATGCCCTGGGCACAGGCTTAGCCTTCAACCAAAGTGGGGAATCTGACAACATCTCATTCCATGTCCTTCTACTACCCTTTCTGGCATTATTTGCCCCATCCAAAGCCCAGGAGACTAGGCTTCCTGCCTCTCTTCTCTCTCCCTCACTCCCTTCCTCGTCCCCAAATTTCTGGCACCTTTGCTGCAACAGCATCACACCATTTGGCTCAGGACACTCTGGGGCCCCCACCCGGAAGACCCCTGGGGCAGAAGGGACTGCACTGATCCCCCTTTCCCTCCAGCCCCAGAAGCTGGGTCCAGACCTGGCCTGCCCTTCTCCAGGAACACTGACAAGCAGAGCGATCCCTCCAGAGGGCCCAGGATGGAAAGAGGTCTGAAAAATGCCACTCGGTTCGGGTTCCAGCTTCCCTGCTCACTCACTGCAGCAAGACCTTCTCCAGTGGGACTGTTTCTTCATCTGCAAACCGAGGGAGCCATGACTCCGCCAGTCAGTCACCCACCTGCACCCTGTTCCAAGGTAAACACAGCAGCCACCTCCTGTTTGTAAACTAGTTTCCCACGTTCTCTTGACCACAGGAGAAGAGGGGCCACCAGGAGCATTACGGTCTGCTTGTCATTTCCCATTGCAACTTGAGAAACCAATGCATTAACATATTTCATTTGGGGTTTGTTTTCTAATTGTAGGAAGAGGGGATGGAGTGGGACTGGAAACAGCAGGGGTAGGCTGGCCTATCAGAGTCTCCTACTGAGGTTTTAAAAATGCCAAGTCCTTCCTGGCTCATAGGTCTGCGTGGGCCTAATCTGGGATCTTTGGAAGTAGATCAGTGGTTTCAAGCTGATCCTCAGAGCTCAGGTTCTCTAGAAGCGCCCAGACCCCTCTGGGGAAGGCAGAGTTCCTCGCCCATAATCAGTCGCTTTCCAGTCTGTCTACCAGATACAGAAACTTCTGCATCCCAATTTCCCCATTTTATTTGGAAAAGTTTCCCATTATAAAAAAAATATGAAAACCAGCAAACTTGTTATATGGGGATTCCCAGGCTGCTCCCCTAAGAATGGGTCTGACTCCCTAGTGGGAGAAGACCCAGTGGCCAGGATAACTTCCTGTGAAGACGGGGCTGTCACATGGAAGTGGGGGAACAATTTACTTTGTGTGGCCCCAAATGACCAATGAGCCTTGAGCACAGGTCCCTGGAAGGGGGCACCTAGAGGTCAAGGCTAGAAATGTAAGCAATGAGGGGCTCTTCACTGGGTGGAAAGCTGACCTCACCTCCAGGTTCCCTTTCTGAAGCCTAAGGTTCTAGGAGTTCCTGTTTGTTTTTTATAATCTTTTTTTTAATCCACATGGTTCAAAATTCAAAAGATAAACACTCATTTACATTGAAAAATCTCTTTCCCACCCTTAGCTCCCCTCCCTGGAGGCAACCAATGGTACAGTCTCTTATGTATCCGGGCTTATAAGCATCCCAAGTACCTGTAAATATTTGTTGAATGGCCAAATATATGAGCAAATATATTTGCAATTTTTTCCTCATTTTTATACCAATGTACCCTTTTCTATACACTGTTCTGCATCTTGCTTTTCTCACTTAACAGTGTATCTTGACAACTTGCGTCCTTAAGTTTCTTAAGGGGAAAATTCCAAGAGTTGTGGCAAGCCAGCTGAGCAGGACTGATGCATCGTGTCGTATTTTTTTGAGTACAGGGACACGTGCAGACGTTTACTAATGATACAGCATTGGAGCTCCCAGCTCACACCTAAAGCCTTTCCTGAGCACATTTTCTTGAACACGCTCTGGGGACGAAGCCTGAAGTGAATGAGGCCAATGGGAAAGAAGCTTAAGCTGAAAATGCCCCCAAGAGATCCACCAACAGAAAACTGAGAGCTGTCCACCACCCTGCCAGCAGAGGTCCTAGGAACACTGCTAGTGACTCAAGGAACAGCCTAGCAACCACAGCCAGGAGCTGGCCCCTCCCAACCTACCAGATGCCTCAGAGCCACCACCTACCTGAGCAAACTGTTCTTTGAGTGGACTGGAGAGCCGGAGGATCGCACAGACGTCAGCTCCGAGTCTACGGAACAGAGAGATCCGAACCCAGTTCACCTAGTTTCCAGGCCCCAGAAGAGAAGTCCAGAGGACTAAAGTCCCATTTCTGCTATTGGCATCTATGGAACCTTGTCAGGTCTCAACTTCCCTGATCCTATTTCCTCATCTGCAAAATGGGGATAACAATTTCTGTCCCGTCTCCCATAGGACTATTATGAAAGAGCCCTGAAACTAACAGGTAAAACAAATAAAATCACAATTACAGTGTGAACATCCAAGTCTGGAATATTCTGGGTCAGTTAGTTACTGCTGGGTCCCTGAACTAGTTCTCTCACAGTCAGGGTTACCTCAGTCTCTACTGACTCTGTCACCACAACATAAATAATTCATTCATTCAGTTGTTCAATTTACCCAACCAACCATTTGTTGGGTACTCTATTTGGGTCCAAGTGACACAAATGTGAGTAAGATACATGATTCCTTCCCTGACCTTGAGATGCTCACAGATTCACTTAAACACTGACATGGTGAGGTAGGTGTTCTTATTTCCATGTTTCAGAAGAGGAAAGTGACTCTGAATGAGACCGACTCACCCAAAGCACCATTACCGGTAATGAAACTAGTATTAGTAAAATATAAATAATAGCCAACATTCACGATTTCAATCCCAGTAGTCAGATTCTACAGCCTATGCTTCTGACCACCATTTGACTTCGGTGTTTGAGGGGAAAGAGAAATGCAACTTTGAAAAAGGTGGTGGATACTTGGTGGTGAAATTCAGGTGGTGACCCCTACCCTGGGCTCCCTGACAACCTCTTATGATGTCCTGTGATGTCCCAAAGCAGCCTCCATCCAGGTAGCCCCCTCACACTGGCCTTCAAGAGGAGAGGAGTCCCACCCTTCTTCCCCCCTGGTTCTTCTACTCCCCTAGCCCGTGCCCCAGCAAAAAAGCTCCCACACAGAACATCTTACTTTGAGAGAAAACACTGGGCGAACAGTATTATTATTCGGGGAGGCAGTGAGGTAGGTAAGCCCATTCCTTGGAGCCAGACTAAAGCTAAATTTGAGTCCTGGATCTGCCGATTACTTTGTGACCCTGGCAAGTTTGGGGTTTGTTTGTTTTAACTTTTCAGAGGCTCAGTTTCTTCAACTCTGAAATGGAGATACTCACACCACGCAGTACCTAACAAAAGTGGTTCTGAGAATTTAATGAAATCGTATATATACACAGTGCCTGGCACACAATAAAGGCTCAGTAAACCCCAGCTATCAAGTGGTGTGCTGGGCAAGCATTTGCCTTTGGAGTCAGACACAACTGGGGTGTTGTCTTAGATACATCCTTTATCTTGACTCAGTTTCCTCATCTGTAACAGTTACCAGGCAACAGTGTCGGAAGACCAGGAATGGTGTATAAAAATGGCCTTGTAGGTAAGTTATTAATGCCTCTTGGAGAGACCTACAGCTTAGGGTCTTTGGAAAGGTGGTCGCCTCATCCTTTGAGTTGGGTGCGTGTAAACTGCGGGTTTATGTGGAGAATCCTCCACCTCCACCGCCCCGTGTTCTTCCTGCCCTGCAATCTGAGAACCCCTACTGCAAAGCTCACTGCATCACACCCAAACACTCCCCTCGTGTCACATTAGGCGGGGATCGCCCCCTTCCTCCTCCTTCCCCGCCCCATCGACACCTGCTCTGCAGCGCCTCGGTCACAAAATCCTTCCCGGACTTCCTCTTCCCGCTGAACAACAGCACCAGCCGCGGGCCGCCTCCTAGCGGGGCCATGGGGTCGCCACGTTTAGCGATCCCTAAAACTGACGCTGCTCCCTACTCCTTACATCACGCCACCCGGCGCGGGATGGACGAGGCCACTTAGGTGGAGCCGCAGCAGAAAGAATTCTCCCCCCGTCTCTTCGTAGCTGTAGAAAGGCTGTCAGCCCGCATATGTGCTCCCGAACATTTTAGTTAATGTCTAAGCAAATTAAATATAGAGAGAAAGAAGGTTAATTTCAGGGGCAGACTTCCACCCTAAAGAAACTCCCCTACCAGACTCATTTAGAACAGTCCAACCCGCCCAGAACCTGACGTCACAGCCCAGCCTTCTTAGTTGACAGCCGAGAATTGGACGCAACTATTTTCCTCCTAGGGGGTTGGCGTCTTAAACTTCCCAAAGGTAAACCTGCATTGCTTTCCTAGCAAGCCTGCAAACGTTATGAAAAATGAAAAAACATGGCGATTTTCCGGGAGTTTTCAAAACTGCCTTTTAGCTTGTGCATCATAATACATATGCTAAAGCAAATCTCCTTTCGCTCCACAGTGAAAATCGGTCTTTCTGGAGATGAACCAAGCCTAAAATCCAGAGGGTTGTCTGGTGACGTCACACATGGGCGGGGCTTAGCCTAACGCACGCTGTTTTATTGTTAACTAGTTTCTGTTGCTTAAGAGGCTGCTTGCTGGGCCGCCCGTTCAACCTTGCAAAAAAGTTTACATCGCTTTTCTAGTCGCAGCCTCCTCTCCACAGATTTTTGGAAGCGAGAGAGCTTGGAATGACGTGGGCCACATCAATAGCATAAATTAAGAAGAGGCTTTGAAGCCACCGCTGGTCGACATTACCTAGGTTAATCCGGAGTGCAGCTCCCAGCTGGGGGTAGAGGGGCCGAAGTAAGGGGGTCCGATCTATCCCCTCCCTGAATTCCCACTTCTGCCTCTGCCTACAGCAGCAGCCAGCCAGTCCCACTTGAGTAAATGAAAACGTCTTCAGCTATGACTTGCTGTCCTGCAATTCTCTGAGCTTGTCAAGGCAGAACTTGTAACCCATCACTGCCTCCACTTCATGACCTATAAAGTCATGTAGATAGAAAAGGTGAGGTGTGGAGACCTACTTGGGAGAAAGCATTAATTCCCCAAAAACTTAAAAAATGGCAAAGACACTGAGGAAAAAAAGTCAGATCAAAAAGAGCTTCAGGAAGGGTTTTTGTAGTTGCTGTTGCTTTTATTTTTTATTTTTTGGTATCATTAATCTACAATTACATGAGGAGCATTATGTTTACTAGACTCCCCCCTTCACCAAGTCCTCCCCACATACCCCATTAGTCACTGTCCATCAGCATAGTAAGATGCTGTAAAATCACTACTTGTCTTCTCTGTGTTGCACAGCCCTCCCCGTGCCCCGGCTCTTTATTCTTCCCCTGCCTTCTCCCTCCCTTCCCATCCATCCTCCCCAGTCCCTTTCCCTTTGGTAACTGTTAGTCCATTCTTGGGTTCTGTGGTCCTGCTGCTGTTTTGTTCCTTCAGTTTTTCCTTTGTTCTTATACTCCACAGATGAGTGAAATTATTTGGTACTTGTCTTTCCCCGCCTTACTTATTTCACTGAGCATAATACCCTCTAGCTCCATCCATGTTGTTGCAAAAGGTAGGATTTGTTTTCTTCTTATGGCTGAATAATATTCCATTGTGTGTATATGTACCACATCTTCTTTATTCATTCATCTACTGATGGACACTTAGGTTGCTTCCATTTCTTGGCTATTGTAAATAGTGCTGTGATAAACATAGGGGTGCATCTATCTTTTTCAAACTGGGCTGCTTAGTTGCTGTTGCTTTTTAAGGACCTTTGAAGGCACTATACTTCTCAATGCCCTTGGAAGGCGGTACAGAGAGGCGCTTTAATGTCAGCATCACTTATTGATAAAGCCCACCTCACAGAGTTGCAGTAAGAAGGTGCAGTAAGAAGGAAATAAGGAAAATATATGTTAATACTTTGTAACTTCTCAATGTTCACCCAAATATGAAGTTGTTATTTACTCTGAGCACTTTGTGATTTTACAGTTTATAATTCAACACAGAATCAGATTTTCCAGCTCACCTGCAGTAAGCATTTATTTGGGACTCCATTAAAAACCCGAATCCCACTTCTGCCACCTTTAGGAAGGACTCAGAACTTCCTCCTAGAGTCTCTTCCCTCTTCTGAAGCAAACCACACACCTGCCCTCCCTCTCCCAGCTGGTATGGAGCTCCCTGGAATTCCAGTTAGTAATCAGAAAAATCCTAGCCTCCTCTCAGAACTTTCCATCCTGCTCCCTGTTTCAACTGCCCCTCACAGTCCCTTTCTGCCCTCCCAAGTGGGGGCTCTTTACTCTACCCCTGAGGCTCATATCTCAGCGTGGACTTCATGTTTCTGGCCTCCCACCCTCCCCATTTCAGCCTCTCCAGGCCCTTATTCCCCCTGCCTCTTGGAAAAGTCTGGCTCTCTAAGGCTCAGGCCACCTGGCTGAGCTACTCTTTCCCTCCTTCATGTTAACACAACCAATCCTGAGGCATATTCCCATTTACTGAGACTTACCCGCTGGCTCCTGGTCTTTTCAATGCAGTTGCTGTCATCATTAGTGACTTCACTGTCTGCAGGGTCAGCCCACCCAACGCTCAAATTCCTTGGCCTTAGATGTTCAAAGGCTTGTTCCTCCTTCTCAGCTATCAGCGCCCATGGACACACCTGGGCCTTGTCATCACCAGAAACTTTTCAACCTGCAAATTCACAAGCTCAGCCTCCCTACCCTCCAAGGTCATGTGCTCAAATACTGTCCCCAAAGCAGTGCTCTCCTCCCAAGAAACTTTTCATCTTAAATGACATCTGTTCTTCCTTTCCCTCCACAGCCAAAGGGAACATCAGGTAAGTTAATACATGTGGAAAGTCTTTGAAAGCTGTACAGGGTTGCACAACCGTGAGGCCCTGTTCTTAGGGTAGAAGAGCAGACTCCAGGCGGGGACACCGCGGCCAGTGAGGTGGGAAGGGCAAGAGGAGCAGAGACGACTGGCGAGGGAGTGGCCAGAGTCCTTGGGGACTGAGACTGGGAGCCAGAGACGCCAGACGCCGCTGCCTCCTGGGGCTTTCAGAAGATGATATTTGAGGAAGTGCCCCAAAAACTCAGGAAAACAACTACCTCTGAGAGCCACCTCTCACTAAAGGGGCAGATCCCTTAAAGAGAGGTTGGCCTCTGACTGAGAGAACAGTTTGGAAGTCAACTCCAGGCCTGATTGCAGGAAGCCTGCTTAGTGTATTAACCTACCTAGAGACAGTCTGAGCCTGCCCAGGACCCCTCATATAGCTCTGCAGAGCCCAGAGGAGGAAGGAGCTGGGCTTGTGTGTGCCCAGGGGGAGGGAGCCCTGAGCAGAAGGTACCAAGGTCCACTTGCCAAGGCCAGCCTGTCCTATAGTGGAACCAGATGCCATCCTGGCTCAGTGACACCCTTAATTCTCCTTGTTTCAATTCCATGCTTCTGGTTCCAGTTTCTCCCCTCGTGCCATTGTCCAGGTGACCCAAGCGTTCCCCTCTGCCAGTGCTTGTAAATCTAAGTGTGACATGGGGATCAGTCGTCATGTGTCTGAGGACCATTGCTTCAGAGGCAATGGACCCTGGCAGCTAAGGAACAGAATGGGGTGGGGGTTGCAAGCAACTAGTACAATAGGAGAAGAGAAGAGGGAGTCTGAGTCTTTGGGAGCTGATGGGAGCAAAGTCTAGCCATTCATGCATTCATTCAACATGTATTTAAATGTCTAAAATGTGCCAGGTCCTGCTAGAGATGCAACAATCAACAAAGCAGGGCCTGCTCTCAAAGACATTCATTCCCATGGGAGACAGGCAATTATAAGAGAGCTGAAAAATGGAGCATGAGAGACTTTATCCCAAAATTGGAGAAGGAAAATTGATATAAATTAACACTAGCAGGACACTATGAAATAAGCTGTAAATGGCTCTAACTACGCACCCTCATGTTGTTCCCTCTGCCAGAAACACCCTTCCCCTCTTGTTTCTGTGAAACTGTCTCTGACTTGGACTTAAGCACTTGGCTTGTCTTGCCCACTCCAGTAAGCCTTCCCCAGCTCCCCACTCCACCTGACTTAGATACCTGCACCTGATACACCCTGTACTCACCAACATCAGGGCATCTTACACTATAATTATCCATTGACTCATATGGCTCTCCCCCGAGAGCTGAAGGTTAATATTTCTGAGCATTTACTATGTGCCAGGCCTTTTCTCAATCATACGACATTAACACTATTATCCCTAACTTAAAGGTGAGACAACTGAGGCTCGCTATAATGAAGAGATTTCCCCAGGTGTTTATCAAATAGATTATTGTGCATATATAATAATAGACTATTATTATATGTCTGCCACCCTGGGATCCCACTCCAGAGAGAAAGGGCAAAAACCTCACAGACACACAACTGAAGAGCCAGAGACTCAGAAGTTCCCCTCCCCCACATTCCTCAAGTGTCCAGTCAGGGTGAAGCCAGAGAACAAACATATAAGGCACTGGCCAGCTCTGCAGGGTCCTCAAGCTTCAAGGAAGGCCACAGGCAGATGTCCTTGGAGGTGAGAGGCTGCTTGCTTGAGGTGGCTTCATCCTCTCACCAGTGTGCCCCCTCCGGCAAACCAACAGAAAGTTCAGTACTTGGTCTACAAATTATTTCCATGATTACGAGGAAGATATACTTGCCTTCATTTTTATGGCTGAGGGAAACTAAGGCACGATTACAGTAAGTATTGTGCAACAATCTGTAAATTAATATCAGCTTATCTAAAGACATGCCTCTAGCATTCAAAGAGCATTTACTATGGTCTGTAAATGTTCCTAACTTCATACTACCGTTTTATCACATCCATACTGTAGACAAAGAAAGGATCCTCCTATTTTCAAAACAAAAGGTCTCCAAAAATTTAATTGGCGTACCCAGGGATAGTGGCCACACCTGAATCTGGACTATAGTGGGAGAATAGAGATTGTTTTAAAACAAATATTCCTGATTTGGAGAAGTTTTTTTGTTTTTCTATTGGATTATTTTATAGAGAATGCAAATCTTGGAACTGGGGGACTAACACAATTTGAACTACTTTAAAGAGTGATTTGGTGATTTCATTTTACTGTTCTTTAACAATCTGAGTGATAAAGGTTGGTGTTTATTT